TTATATTCCAGTGATGTTGAGTCGCATTGAGTCGGTCAAGCCAGAAAGCTTTAGGAATTGACGGAGGAGAGTACTTAGAAATAATCTAAAAAGAACATGCTTTTTAATTATAAGAAGGTGGAGAGTGAGGAGATTTCTCCTAAGTAAATGGACCCATGGAAATGAGGCTTTGCAAAAATAGAATTATTAAAAATATCGGTAGAGTGATGTCTAAATATTAAGTCAGACAGTGGCTCCCTACATATTTTAGCCCAAATACGCTCATGAAATCCACCCACTTATCCAATCACTGAGGAAAGCCCTTGTTGCATGTTTACTATGTGCCAAGCACATATTTGGGTATAAGACAACACTTGATATGTAATGAAAATGAAAAAAAGTACCCTGTGGCCCTTTAGAAGTGCCATTCTCAGAGATTGCCCCAACTAGACACAGACAACTGCCTGTGTACCATCTAGCCTCTACCACTGACATTTCCTCACAGTCCAAAAGGAGGAGACTGAGGCCTTTGAAAAGGCGATCAGAGTTGCCTTTGATGTACCTTGTTTACATTGACAGGCATCAGAAAGAAATCTTGACAATGAGAAGTCGTAGTCAAGCAGACTGATGGCTTATAAGTAAACTCACCCCAATTTTGAAACCCACTGATAAAAACAAACTTCTGCCTCTAGAGATGCAGCGACACCACAGTTCAAGAACCTATTCCAACAAGGACCATCAGATCAGGCACTCAGCCTGATTCACCGTCATGTGTTCAGCACAGTGTTTTGCTCAAAGTAGGTGCTCAAATCTTGTTTTATCTAAAGTGAAAGAAGAAGGCTTCTGCATTGGGGCATACACAGTAGAGGCTCAGAAGTCACCCCAGTGCAGTGATCCATGTAACTTAAAGTTAATTTTGCCACTGTGTATAAACAAAGTCTGCCCGAGGTATTTTTATTTCATTTAGTTTGGAAGTCACTCAAGGCAGAGTTCAGAATTAAGAAATTAGATACTATCTTGGACATTGGTGATGGGCCATGAAAAATAAATTAGGTCCTTTAAATAGTAAGTATAAAAAACTCAGGAATTATCCAGAGGAAAAAAATGGCAAAGCAAATTTTTAAAATAAATTTTTCTATAATCGAATCGTTTTGGAATTCAGACAATATAATTGACTCAGAACTTTGTCATAAAAATGAAACTGCCAAAATAATAATATAAAATAAACGTTGAATACTTCATTTTTATGAATTAGTTTTTTGAAAAGAAAATAGAGACTCTGCCAATTTATCCCTCAAGAACCTTCCAACTGTGTGAAGCATTAAAATAATACACGCTATTTAAAAATTATTAGGAACCCATTAAATTGGCAAGTACTCAGGTTTCATGTACTCAGGATTTTGCTTTGGTGGGAAGCAAATTCTATAAACTCCCTACTGGAATTAGATGTTTTTGAATGTGAGCAACAGTTTTCTTATAAGTGGAGGGGAAATGTTACATAAATAAGAGTAAATAATAAATTTTTATCTGCCGAATTCTTCTGTTAACATAAGACACCAACAAAACAACCCACAGGGAGGAAGAAGACACCATCCTCCCACTCATGGCTTCTCCCCTTCAGAGAAGAATCCCTCTCCAGCTCCTTCAGAGTTTACGTCCACATCGGGGAGGCTTATTATCGCTGGCTTTATTGTCTACACATGGACACTGTGTCCACTATTAGGGGTACATACTATCATATACCTCAGACTCTGTGTGTGTGTGTGTGCATGTGTGTGCATGTGTGTGTGTGTGTGTTTGTGTGTGTGTGTGTGTATGTGCACGCGCGCGCCTCTCTCCATTAAATAAATGATAACCTTTCCAGGGAGTCTTATCTTTTATTGGAAGGCCGAGCATCTGACCAGCCCAGGCAGAGAACCCAGAGTTGGGAACAAGGGGTACATTCATAATAGTGATCTACTCCCCTTTTATCTTTTTTCCCTCTTTTGTTTTTTTCCCACTTATCATTGGTAAGCACTTCCAAATATGTTTACCAGGTGGCACAAGTTATTATGAGAACAGAAGGCAATAAGGCTTTAAATTGGCACAGAAACCTATATTGGGCATCTCTTATATTCAATCTGCCATGCAAGTCATCAGGGAGATGCAAAATGAATGAAATATAATTCCTCCCACTTAGAGTTTACAGTCTAAATGACTGAGATCAGCTCACAGGTGACTGGGTGGTTCAGTCATATTGGTTTGTCAAATAGTGTTTGGTTGCTGGGCAAGTGGTCATATAGACTGTGAAAAAACAAAAACAAACAGAAACCAGCCTTCTACCAAAGCAAATTAAATAACGAAGACCCAAATTGGATCATTTGCCATTTTCTGTTTTAAATGTACTTCATATGAACATTTGCTTATTAAGATGAGTTTTTGTTTTATATGACATTTTTAGCATTGTGGAAACTTTTAGAAGCACAATCATCCTAACTAATAGCAATGGAATGTACATTTTATTTAATAGTTTTTAAAAGTTAGATATGTTCAAAGTTGAGTACTAAAAGGTGACTAAAATGAACAGATCTCAGGAAATATCAATGGATTCTAGTAAAGACATTTAAAAAAATCCTCTGTGAGCAATAAACTTTAAACACATTTTCCCTCAAAGATCAAAGGGTACAAGTTAAGATGAAATAAAGAAAGTCTTAAAAAGGAAAGAAATTCTGACACATGCTGCAGCATGGATGAATCTTGAAGACATTATGCTAAGTGAAATAAGCCAGTTACAAAAGGACAAATACTGTATAACTTCCCTTATATGAGGTACGTAGAATATTTAAATTCATAGAGACAAAAAGTAGAATGGTGGTTGCCAGGGGCTGGGGGAAGGGAAGAATGAACAGTTAGTGTTTAACGAGGACAGAGTTTCAGTTTGGGAAGATGAAAAAGTTCTGGAGATGGATAGTGGTGATGGTCACACAACAAGGAAAATGTACTTAATGCCACTGAAAAATGACACCGAAAATGGTTAAAGTGGTAAATTTTATGTTGTCAATTAAAAAAACAAAACTCAATGGTAAAGGCAGCCTGATGTTGAAAGCAAGTCTTTTGATACTAAACCCTTAGTACCAAAAAAAGATTCCCACAGGCTGGGACAAGAAAAAAACAAGGGAGGCAAGAATAAGAGACAGACAATGATGGGTTCTTGAGAAAGAGTCCTGCACCCTGCTCTTGGGGAATGGGCACAGCCCTTCATAGATCTAAGATAGGGAGAACGTGGCCCTCACTTCCTCATGAACGCTGGAGAATGGCAAAAATTCTGAAGAGGCAAAACTATGGCTATGTGCTATGTCTTGGCCATCCAGGTCCTAGCCTCACAAAATTCCCAGGCCCCAGTGGGTATAAGGGCAGCACAATAATTGCTGTGTGCCTAAGAGTGGTGGAGAAGTGGCAGAAAGAGGCACGGGAACTGAAGGGCAGGCAGATGGAAGCTGAAGGGAACCTCACCAAGATTGAATTTATGACCAGGGACAACCCAGAATGATGAGAAACTCAGCGTCTCCTGAGTGGACAGACAACATGGAGAACCAGTGATCCTCTCCAGGCCCATGGCTCTGTGCAGCCACTCCAGGATTCGTATGTGATAGCAGGAACAGAGAAAGTTGACTGAATGAAAGCTTGAAATGATATTATAGTTGCATCATAAAGTTACATTTCTTAAAGGACCCCTCATACGCTGCTGGTGGGACTGCAAATTGGTACAGCCACTATGGAAAACAGTATGGACGTTACTCAAAAGACTAAGAATTGATCTACCATGTGATCCAGCAATCCCTCTACTGGGTATTTACCCCAAAGACTTGAAAACCCATATCCGAAAAGATATTTGCACACCAATGTTCATAGCAGCATTATTCACAGTGGCCAGGACATGGAAGCAACTGAAGTATCCTACGATAGATGATTGGATAAAGGAGCTGTGGTACATATATACTATGGAATATTACCCAGCCATAAGAAGAGATGAAATACTGCCATTTGCAACAACATGGATGGACCTTGGGATAATCATGGCGAAGCGAAATAAGCCAGACAGAAAAAGTTGAAAATCACATGATATCACTTATATGTGGGATATAAACCTAAAAGCAACAAAGGAACAGGACAAATAAACAGAGACTCATGGACATGGACTATAGACTAGTGGTTACCAGAGGGTAGGGGTGGGGAGAGAGGAGAGGTAGACGGGGTAAAATGGGTCAAATATGTAGTGACAGAAAGAAATCTAACTATGGGAGGTGAACACACAGTGTAGATATATATATGCTTTAATGTTAAAGTGTATAGCTGAAACTTGCTGGATTTCGCTAACCGATGTCACCATAAAAAAAATTAATTTTTTTAAAAAAGTTACATTTCTTGCACCCTGAATCTCCAGCCTGATATCCAAAGACATCCTTACATTCCTTTCCAGCCACTTGGGGCCTTCATGATAACATTCCATGCTAATTGTTCACTTGTATGAGATTTTCCATCACTATTGACTTCAATTAGCATCCTTGGGTGATGGCTTATCTATTGATTCTTTATTTTATCTGGAATAAAAGGAAGACATTGACTTTCCAATCTGTAAGAATTTAAAGTTATAAATAGCCAACACTGCATGTAAGTTTATTCAAATGAACAAGTAGATAAAAGGTGGAAGCTTGGGACACTACTTCCTATGGCTCTCCCAGTTAAGCTCTCTTCAGCAAGAGGAATGAAAATTGTAGTTCAATGCCTGTTACTCTCTTATCTTATGTCACATACATGCAGCTTCCAGAGGGAGGAGGCCCTGCTGCAATGAGCCACCGAGTAAACAAACAATTGCCTGAAACACATGTGTGGTCTGAAAGTTGAGCTCTTTATAAAGGTGTGGCTTTTGGCTTTCTTAGAAAGAAGGGGAAGTGAGGAAATACTACTCCAGGAACAAGAAAGTTTCCTTCCCATCTTCTCTTCCCTATTATGTAAGAATGCTTTTCTTCTGTCATTCACAGAATGCTTCTGCACAGTGTCGGGGTGTAGGCACGTCAGTGGAACACACACTGGGACACTTCCTCCAAGGCAGCAGAGCCCACACAGAAGCAGTTTTCCACTGCAGGTGACTATTTTCTATTTGGGTGTGAAGGAAGAAAGGTGACTTGAATGAATATGATTAAGCTCCTGACTTGAGATGTTCAGCACATGGCCTTGTTTCTGCTTTTCTTTAAAGGAATGATTCTGAACCCTAGTGGCTGAGTTTGGCTCCCCCAAACACCTGGATTTCAGTATCTGAAATTTTAAGCTAATTAAAAAAACATAATTCCTACTTAATATAGCTTTTATCGGCTGATATCAATTTAATATGATTTTTCCCAATGTTAATTTCAAGTTCCAAATATAGTCTCATGTAATAGGCGGCTCACACAGAATCCAGTCTCTCCATTTCACTAATTCTACTGCAGATAAGTGTACCCCATGTTCTGCAGCCATATCCTTGTCATCCTGGGAATTTGGTCCTTAAGTAACTAACCTCTTGTTGGGAAAAAAAAATACCAGTCCTGGTCTTCATCCCATTTCTATACTCTACCAAGCCCAGGTTTGGGCAGTTTCCAGTGTTCTTGTGTCTAGAGACTTCAGCTGCCTCTAAGACTCTGAATATTCTTGTTTTCCTCACAGGTCTTTTGGGGAGCAACTCACCATTTTAGCTCTCCCTTTTGTTGGCTCTTTCGCTCTTTTTCTCCTTTCACCCTGGGAATTAAAGGTATGTACTCTGCAGTGTAATTAACACTGGCTTTTAAGTGAGACCACAGTCCAAAATAATAAATGAGATTTTAAACATTTGAGGTGGGTACGAGCCATGTTGTACATTTCAAGACTGATATTCTTGCAGAAGCCATTGTAGAGATGACAAAAGGCAAATGCATCACAGATGCGGGTGAAACAAAAACAAATGAAATAAAGAATATGAACAGACATCGATTTTATAAATGATTTTCTATTCCTAATTAGGCTTGATACCACTATGTTTGGTTACTGGTGTGTTTCACTCATATCTTTTGACCTTCTTAAAAAAGGAAATCATGAAGTCACTTCAAGGCACCCACATTTCAGTTGCATTATGTGGCACAATAGTTCACGGTAAGAGCCTAGTAGCCACCACACCTACAGTAACACCTGGCTTCTTGGCACATTGTGTGCTGCTGGGATCTTTCATTACTCGTGACAATGTGGCATTCACCCCACAGCATTCTACATTGCTCTATTTCTGAACTTGGCATATAACAGTTATAAAATGAGATGAGCGGATTAGGGAACCACGACACACAGCTCTGGGAACCCACTAATGCCCAATTTACTAGTCCAGGTATGAATGATGGCTGTAAACTAGAACAGTACTCAAAATGACAAAGGTATGAGCAGAGAATGAATGATTCTCTAACAGCTTAATGCAGACATTGGTTTGTTTTCATAATCTTAGGCTGGGTATACACAGCTTGATGAAAGCTTTGAAAAACTGAATATAATTCTTTATGAAAATCAAAAGCACGACAAGTTATGTTTTTTAAAAAACTAACTGTAGGGAACTGGATATTTTCATTGCACCAAATTATCACCCCACTGATGACCTGCTAATTGACAAAGGGAAGATGCATCTCTCCAGTAAAGAGAGTGGCGATTGCCACTACTTTAACTCAGGGATCAAACTTGACATCACCAATAGTAGGGCAACCAGGCTTACTGATGTCACTCTCTATGTAGTAGATAGTTTCATGTATGGAGTATTCTTCAAAATGTATAGCCTGACTCTCATCAAGACTTTAGATCTAAATTCCGAAGGATATGTAGAAGATGGAAGAACAAGTTAAACCACCATGAAAAAAAAGATCCAAAAGTCCAGAATTGGGGCATTCTATAAGACAACTGGCCTGGCCTCTTCAAAAAGTCAAAAGCATGGAAAAGGGTGTGTGTGTCTGTGTGTGTGTGTGCACGTGTGCACATGCACACACGCATGCCATCCTATTCTAGATTATTAAAAGAAACGGAAGACATAATACAGTTGACCCTTGAATGATGCAGGGTGCCAATCCCTGCACATTCAAAAATCCACATACAACTTTTGACTCCCAGTTGAGCTTCAGTGTCCACAGGGGACTGGTTCCCGCACACCTAAATCCACAGATGCTCGAGTCCCCTGTGTAACAGGGTGTAAAACAATGCAGAGTCTGCCCTCCGTATTCCCAGATTCCAAACCTTGGGAAATACTGCTTTTGACTTTGGTTGGTTGAATCCGTGGATGTGAAACTCAAGGATACGGAGGGCCGATTGTATATTTACTGAAAAAAAACTATAAGTGGACCCGCACAGTTCAAACCTGTGTTGTTCAAAAATCAACTGTAATTTTACAAGTTCTCCTCAACTGGATTCTAAATAGGAAAGAAAACTATAAAACCAAGGTTATAATTTGAATGTGAACTGGGTATTACATGATACTAGGGAATTAATATTCATTTATTAAGTGGGATATATTGGAATTAGGTTATGTAAGAGGAAGTATGCTGAAGTTCTTGGGGGTGAGTGACTTTAAAATGATTTGACAACAACAAAATATAGGTAGGCAGATGAAGCAAAGATGGCAAAAGGATAATTTTTAATTAAAGGTATTGGGTTATGGGTGTTCATTGTACTGGGTTTTTTTTTCTGTTTCTGTACATGTTTGAATATTTTTATGATAAAATGTTTTTAAAAACCTTACCTTTATTATTTAAGTTCTGAAAATTGGATGTCACAAAACTAATTAGTTTCTCTCCATCCATTTGAACCTGATTAACTTGCTGAATTCACCAAAAAATAAAAATAAACAAATAAATAGATTACTAATAATTAAAAAAACAAAACAAAACAAAACAAAAAACAAAAAAAAAAAACAAAGAAAACTAGGTAGAACATGCAGCCCTCACATCAAAAGTCATCCACTGGCAAAAACAACAAAAAGGCAAAATTTAAGCTAAACTACATCAATTTCCCTTTAATGATCCTTATCTTATGAAGAAAAAACAAAAACTTAAAGTGGTAACTGCCTGATTTTATGTAAGCTAAAATCAGTAAAATTGATTATTTGCAGTTCTGATCAATGAATGATTTTTTAAGTAGATGGTTAAAAGTGAAAATTATCTTGCTAATTGCAAATTATTTACTGTAATCAACTTTCCAATGTTGTAATCTGTTATAACCAACTTTGAGTTGGAGCATAGAGAGTACCTGGCAGAAAAAGACAACTGGACTTAGGGAACTGCCTATAATTTGTGAATAATTGTGCCAGTTTGCAAATTGATAAAATAATTTACTCCTCACATCTATTTTATTTATTTGTTTGTTTGTTTGTTGTTTGTATTGTGGCGATCACATCTATTTTAATTAGCTCACCTTCCTAACTAGATAGATGTGTAATGTATGCTAATTAAATAAAATATTTATATTTTACTGCATATGTTTGACTTAAATTGTCCCGATTTAGTAGTCAAATGTTGATTTACAAAATTGCTGAAATTCATTTTCTCTAATACTACAGTGATTATCTATTGGGCATAATGAAAATGGCACAGGACTGAGAGCTATGAAACCAACATGATAGGCCATGCTTATATGCTTATATACTAAATAAAGATCTGTTTGACTTTGGGCCAGACTTTAGCTTCTTTGGGCTTTAATTTCCTTATTTAAATATGCCAGTGGTTGGAATAAAGGCTCTTAACTTGGGTTGGAAGGATTCATGAATCCCCTGAAATTAAAATACAGTCATGCACATAATGATAGGGATACATTCTAAGAAATGCATCGTTAGGTGCTTTTGTCATCTTGCAAACATCACAGAGTGCACTTACACAAACCTGGATGGTATAGCCTACTGCACACCTATATATAGTATATGTAGCCTATCGCTCCTGGGTTACAAGCCTATATAGCATGTTACTGTACAAAACAACATGAGATGAAATCTAGCACAAGAGAAAAAGATGCGATCAAAAGACATGGTAAACACGAGATGCATGAGGCTGTTGCTGGCATAACATGACACACAGTTTTACAGCAATTATTTTTAAGTAGAAAGAGTACATTCTAAAATAACAATAAAAGTAACAGTATAGTAAATTACACAAACCAGTGATGTGGTCATTCATTATCACAGTTTAGTAGTACATACCGTACGTAACTGGATGTTTTACTTTTATAAGACTGACAGTGCAGCAGGCTTGTTTACACCCACGTCACTACAAACACAGGAGTAACACGCTGCGCCACAATGTTATCACAGCTGCATTGTCACTAAGCGATAGGAATTTTTTAGCTCCACTATCTTGTGGGACACCATTGTATATGTAATCTGTCATTGATCAAAACATCATTAAGTGGTGCATGACTGTAATTCATGTGTGTTAGTGTAGAAGCATTTTTATGAGGAGAAGTTTGACAGATTACACATGGGAGTTGCGGCAACTCTCATCAAAAGGTATTGACTATTTCCCCATCCCTTGATCTGGGCTGGCCTACTGACTTGCTCTGACCAACAGAATGAGGGGGAAGTGATGTTATGTGACTTCCAAGCCTTGGCCTTGAAGCTTCTGCTATTGTTCTTTCGAAATGCTGCTCTCACCATGTAAATTAGCACTGGCTCTCTTGCTGGAGACAAGTGGCTCAGCTGACAGCCAGCAACAACCACTAAACATGTGACAGGCTATTTTGGACAAGGTAGCCTCAGCGAAGCTATCGGATGACTGAAGCTGCCTAAATGATCACAGACAAAACCAGCAGAAGAACCACCCAGCTGGGCCTAGCACAAATTGCAGAACGGTGAGCAAAGTAATGATAGCTATTTTAAGCCACTAAATCTGGGGATGGTTGATTAAACCACAATATCTAAATACTTCAAGAACGTAGTTAGCTTTTATCTAATTCTCAAAGGTAATGAATTACTGAATTTGAATTATTTAAAATTTTAGGATCGCTTATCTCTACTTTCTTCATAAGCTATGCCACAGTTTATATTTAATTTGGCAAACCCTGCATTCCAACTTCACTTTAAAGTAAACTCTAGAATTTTTGAACAGAAGAATCAGCAAGTTTTTGAATCTGTAGTTCAAAGACTTTTTCTACTTTCTTCTTGAAAAAAAAAATGTGAACAGTGTTCAGGCACCTCTTTCATTCTCCACATTTTTTAAAGATTAAAGCAATTTCAACTGAAAATTCTATTAATATTCTGGTCTGTTATAAGTTGTTTGATCTTGTTTAGAATGGCTAGCATTTGCTCCTAAGTGATCTTAGTCTTCAATTCCCCTCTTACCAAATTTTGCTCCATGCTTTGCAATCTAAAGAGTGAAACAGAGTCTGAGGGTGTGGCCATCTGTATCTTCCCAGTTGACATAATATTGACAAAACGCCAGCATAGTCCTACAGGGATTCTATACTTGCTTTTGTTTCAAACAACCATCTAACATCTTCATGTTAGCCGCCTCCTGGGTTTAGTCTTCCTGACTCTTTTCTCACGTATTCTTGACAGATTATTTTTGTATCATACTTGTTTTTCTAGATCAACTTTCACATTTTACATACATCATTTAAAAATATATCTGATCTTATCAGACAGCTTCCTGCAGGAAGACACTAAACCTTTTCGACTACCTTCCATTTTCTTTACTTCTCCGCCAGCCCCGCTTCCCCCATGCTTTGGACCATGTACAATAGCAGCATCAGAATTTTATTTTAAGGAGTCTCCCCCACTTCTTTTTGGAATCTCAGACTGGGAGGTCAAAGTCAGGCTTTTATAATTTCCTGAGATATTTTAAAACTCAAACTAACCAAGTGTGTGTCTGGCAGTGATCACATCCCTCTGGAATTTTCTGATGGTCAGGTGGCCCTCTTTCAGGAATCCTGCCACTTCTGATTTTCCATTCGGGGCCTCTGTGTTGGCCAGAATTAGAAGCAGGGTGCTAATCCTCTTCATTACTTCCTCTCCCTTCTGAAAGATGAAATTATCATGTGGATTAGTGATTCCTAACCTGGCTACACATGCAAATCACTTTGGGGAACTTTAAAAAATGTCTGGGGCTCTACCTTCTTTAATTAGAATAAGTGGAGTCCGCCTATCAATTACTTTTAATTCTGGGATTGTTCTAATGTACAGCCAGGGCCGAGAACGCTAACTGAGGCAAATCATGGATTTATCAGATGTTCTGAGTCTAGAAAATGAGACAGCAGATGCATGGGTAGTTGATGGCTCCATCATGAAGATTTTGAATGCTTCTTGTCTCTAGTCCGTTAAGTTTCTACACAGAGAATTCTAGATTGTCTAAATAGGATAACGACAATCGGAACCATGATATTACTTTCTGATTATTGATATTAATCTCAACACGGCTCTAATATCGCTAAACAAGTTGAAGCTAGACAGCCAAAAGTCCACTGAGAAGTTCAAAAGACAGTCTGGGACATTTGCTTTTCTGAAATTCCAAATAAAGATGAATTACATTGCTCTTGATGGTTTTTCTTATTAGTAAAGAGAGTAATTTGACAAAGGGAGTATATTTAAATGAAAAAACAAATTTTTTTTCCTTTGGTCAGTTTTCAGGATGTTAATTGTTAGTCAAAAGGAAATTGAGATGTCAAATACATTAGTTTTCTGAAAAGTTATCTTTCACCACACATCATACGCACCACACATGTGGGCTTTAAAAACTTTTTAATTCTAAATGTTAATTCAGAATTAAATGTTAATTTGCACAAAGTATGCAAATGTAATTTTCTACGAGGCTATTGTTCTCCTTTCGTGACAGAAATGGCCTTATTTTTGGTTAGAGGCAGAGCTGATTTTGGTGTCATTCTCAGAGGTAAGCTAAGTGTCAGCCAAACCAGGACACTTAGGAGTGAACAGCAAATCGACCCTGAAGTACCATGACTTGGACTGAGCATCTCTTTGAATGACCTACTGAGAGCCTGGCTGCACCTCGGCAATCACAGCACATCCTGGGAACTGACGAGCGTGATGACGCAATTTGGTAGGTGCTGTTATACACTATAGGCACGCAGGGGGGTTTCAGCCTCCGATGACTTAAGAGATGACCGTGGGAGAACGGTCAATGCTTACTCAAGGAATAAAAGGCGTACAGTATTCTAAAACTCTAGCTCTAATCTGTTCTGAGTTAGCTGTATAGAAACTGCTATCTGGGGACAGTCGAACTACAGAAGTAGTCTGTAGGAATCCGAAAACAGACAACAGAAAGGGTAAGCAACATTCTCATGTTGAAATACTGCAACTGCTTTCAATCACGCAGGCCCTTTTGGAATCGCATGCATTTTTGTCAATATTTTAGTGTTGCAAATGTTTTGCAATATGGTTTCAGTTGACAAACTCTCAGTAAGGTATTTTTCTACTTTCTAAAGAAAATGCATGTAGAAAATGGTGTCAAATAACATTAAAGGGTGTGTTCTGAAACTGAACACTAAGGAAACTAGTGTTGGTTCTCTCTCCAATGCTAACTCATGCCAACCTGAGCTGAGATTACAGGAGTCTGAAAACAATGCATGAAAAGATGGTGGAATCAAAAATAATGACAGACAAAACAAGACAGTTCACAGCCGAGTGAAGACAACGGATCCAGAGTTTCCTAAATTGGTAGACTTAACTCTCACTCTAGACTGAGTGATTTTAATATCACTTTTATTTTACTCAGATAGACATATCTAAATACACACAACTGTTTCCTTATCCACTGCCAACTATCAACACTGAAAACAACATATACTTTTGTTCTGCATTAGGGCAAAAATGGCAGATCCATGCACAAGTGTTTACAGAAGCTAAAAAAAAAAAAAATCAAGTTGCATTTCTAACTCCTACCAAAATTGTACAGTCTTTCTAAACAACTATGTTGACTTTCCTGGAGAAAAAAGATTCTCATTGCTCCAAATTAAGGTTCACATATTAGCAGAGG